GGTAGAGCATGGAGACACACATGCCTTTAATCTCAATACCAACCATAGAAGACCTGGAGGTCTATATAGACAGGCAGTGACGAGGAGGTCATGTGGTTGGGTTTACAACCAATGAGAAGGCAGAACAGAAAGTCAATAAAAGGACAGACACACAGGAAGTAGGCCTCTTGCTGAGGGGAAGGACAGCAGCGGCTGTGAAGGGTAAGAAAAGGTTTTAGCTCTTAGCTATTGCTCTGACCTCTTGGGCTTTTAACTCTGCATTTGGCTCTGTGTTTCTTCTTTAATAAGACTGTTCATCTACATTCCCATGCCAGGTAAGGGCAACATGAGTTCCCCTCGGCTTGTAACATTGGCTTAGGTAGGAGGCTGTTCTAGAAGTCACCAGCCATTCTTCCCAATCATATAGAAACCCCTTGGCAGCCAGGGCATGCTACCTGAGCCTGCAGTTTAGCTGTCTCTCAGCTACTTGGGAGGCTGAAGCAGGAGGATCACGGGTCAGGGCCATCTTGGGCAACTTAGAGAGATCTTGTCTGTTTCTATCTTTCTCTGTCTCTGTCTGTCTGTCTGTCTAGAGCTCAGGGGTAGAGCACTTGCCCAGCACAAAGGGGCATGTGGCCTCCAGCATGAAACGACCCTGAAGAACAACAAAGCCCGGTGACTGACCCATGGCTTGGACATTGTCTGCACACAGGAGTCCTGAGTGCTTGTTCCGTTATTCAAAGGCCAAAGCAGCCACACGGACCACAGACTTTTGCCCTATTGGCTACCTAGGCTCATGATGGACAATTGCATTAGCCAATCAAGAGCCCAAGAGGGCAGGATGCCAGATGTAGCAGAAACAGTTCAGTGGGTCCTGATAGCAAATGGAAGTAGACTTAGGATTTCTAGAACATTCTCAAGCGTCTCCCCTTCTCTCCCACAGATAAGAGAGTCGGAACTGGAGTCAGCTGGTTTAGCACGAAGCTTGTAACTTCCGAGAGGCACTGGCCTGGCGTTGGTGTCTCAGGAGTGTGTCAAGAAGGTTTCCAGGGGCTGGAGAGATGGCTCAGAGGCTAAGAGCACTGACTGCTCCTCCAGAGGACCCGGGTTCAATTCTCAGCACCCAATGGCAGCTCACAAGTGTCCTAATCTCTCTCTCTCTTTCTCTCTCTCTCTCTCTCTCTCTCTCTCTCTCTCTCTCTCTCTCTCTCTCTCTGTCCTTTCTTCATTCTCTTACCCCCTGCCACAACTACAGCTGCGGGACAGACATACCTGCCAGGGCTGATCAGGGAGGAGGTTGGGACTTCACCTTAGGAACTCCCCCGAAAGCCTGGAAGGAGACTGGGGTCTGAGCAGCAGGGAGGGGACCTGAGCTTGTGAAATGGGTGGGTGGTCTCTGGCAGGGACAGGGCCGGGCTGGCTGGAGAGGCTGTAAGGAGGAAGGTAAAAAGGTGCCCAGAAGCAGCGAGGCTTCATCGCAGGAAGCCTCCATCCGCTTCCTCACAGCTGATTTCTGGAGGGAAGTAAGGGGCTGGCTGGGCTGCGGCCTTCAGGGAGAGACACCCAGTTCTGGCTGGCTTACCTCTACCTGCCGGTGATAATCTACTAAGGTCCCAGATGCTGGCCTGGAAGGGGTGGGGGCTTCTTACAGGGAAGAACCAGGGTGGCTGAGCGTCTGTGGGTTGTCTGGAACATTCGGCTTTCTGCCTTCCCTTCTGGTTCCTGTAAGGTCTCAAGTGAGAACAGGAGATCAGGGATACAATGTGGGCTGCCCTCTCTGTACTTGGGGTGCGGCAGGATCCAGCCGCCCCAGCCTGGCTTGCTCACAGGTGCCCACTGACCTCATCTTAGGTCGGGGAAGAAACAGCCCCAAGTGGGTGCCTGGGAGTCTGGTCTGTCTGCCAGGCTGAAGACCCCCTGCTCCTGAGGGCTGTGTGAGCTCAGGAAGGGGCAGTCTGGATCGGTGGTTCAGTTACAGTGATGGTTCCCTTATCCCACCGCTGCCCAGGGATGCAGCCCAAGGCAGGCCCTGCCCACCGGCTCTGACAGCATGGGTCACTTCAGTCACGGTCACTCTCCTGCCTCGTTCAGTTCTTCCGGTCCTGAGCAGACCGCCCTGCTGCAGATAAGCCCTTGCGGCCATTCTCTGGCTCCAGGCTCTCCTGCTCTCTTGCCTCAGCCTGACTTGGGGGTTCTGAGGTCTTTGAAGAACCTAGTGGTGTGTTTTCAAGGTAGTGGAAGAGTCTGGCTGGGATGAGCAGGGGTGTTCAGGGGCTCCCAGGACTGGCCACCCCACTCTACAGTGGGAACACAGTACTCTAGGGAGGGGGCATCCTCATGTGTCTACATTCTACCGTGGCTTCTGAGAATCGGCCTGGGCAGACAGTCCCAGGCCAGGCTTCCAGATAGAGCATAGAGTGGGCCAGTTCACAGCACAGAGCAGACCAGTTCACAGCATAGAGCAGACCAGTTCACAGCATAGAGCGGGCCAGTTCACAGCATAGAGCGGGCCAGTTCACAGCACAGAGCGGGCCAGTTCACAGCACAGAGCAGACCAGTTCACAGCACAGAGCAGACCAGTTCACAGCATAGAGCAGACCAGTTCACAGCACAGAGCAGACCAGTTCACAGCATAGAGCAGGCCAGTTCACAGCACAGAGCAGACCAGTTCACAGCACAGAGCAGACCAGTTCACAGCATAGAGCAGACCTGTTCACAGCACAGAGCAGACCAGTTCACAGCATAGAGCAGACCAGTTCACAGCATAGAGCAGACCAGTTCACAGCATAGAGCAGACCAGTTCACAGCATAGAGCGGGCCAGTTCACAGCTTGCAGCCTCTCTGGACCCGTTCACACCGTTTGGGGTGCACAGACCAGACCCAAACCTGCCAGGGCTTCAGTTTACCTTCTCCCCTTACTGACTGTTCGAAGTCAATCAGAATGGCAGGTTTGAGAAAGGACCGGGTGCATATTTACCCTTCAGAAATGAGAGAGTTTCTTGACCATGGGCAGGTGGTGTTGGGCCACGGTGGAGCCTCTAGGTGGGAGGTGACAGTGTCCCATCAGAGACATTGTGACAGAGCCTTTTAAATTTTTATTTATTTATTCTTCCCTCATATATACATCCTGACCACAGTGCCCCCTCTCCTCCCATTCCAGTGCCCCCTCCCCAAATCCACACCTCCTGTTTCTCTTCAGAAAAGGGTGGGTCTCCCATGGATATCAACAAACATGGCATATCAAGTTGCAGTAAGACTAGGTACCTCCTCTCCTCTTAAGGCTGGATGAGGCAACCCAGTATGAGGAAAAGGGTCATAAAAGCAGGCAGCAGAGTCCGAGACAGCCCCTGCTCCCACTGTAGGAGTCCCACAAGAAGACCAAGCTACACAACTGTAACATTTGTGCGGAGGGTCTGAGTCAGACCCATGCAGGCTCCTGGTCGTTGGTTCAGTCTCTGTGAGCCCCTATATGAGCCCAGG